TGTGACTTTCCTGATAAAATCTGGTCGGCGAGGTAAGCCAAAAGTGGTACATGCCAACAGGCTTTGGCATTATCATGGTCCAGGACATTTCAGTTGGGACGAAGTGAACAGCAGAACAAATGACGCTGCTGAAGACGTGTCACCTGAAGAAGCCACCGTCGAAGAAGAAACTTTACTCAGTTTGGAGAAGAGAAATGGTGAAGCTCTTGATGAAATTACTACCACTGATGTGACTGTTACTGACGATAGGTCATTTCCTGATGAAGCAGATAAACCCCGCTTGAAGCAGAAGCCAACGAGACGGAGACCAGTACGGAAGAAGATACGTCCTGTAAAATTAAGAGTCTTTGTTGGATTGTAATTTTGTGTTTGTAATTCTGTACATTTAATTAAGTTATTGCTAATTGTTATTGGTTTAATGTTAGTGGCTATTGTTCGGGACGAACAATACTAAGGAGGGGGCAGTGTTGCGTCAGTGAGGTCACGTGATTAGTATCACACCACGTCCTTCTCGAACCTTTGTGAATTGTCGGGAGATTACTAGATATAGTGTAGTCTTGTATATATAAGACCGGCCATGAAGCGATGTGGGGGGTAATGAGTAATTGAACTGCAGTCAGAGAGTGTGTAATTGAATGGAGTATTGTTGAAGTCGAGCATGTGAAATGTTCATTGAGAATTATAGCGCGACTGTTGAAATTAAGTGTATCGCAAAGTTATATTCAGAAAATATAAACCAGTTTTATTTAAGAAAGGACTTCTGTCGCTAAAGTTTCGTCGGAATGAATTTATGGAAAATTAACTAATGAACCAGGTGACGTAACAATATCATCATTGGTGGTTACTGCATGATTTTTGACACAGAGCCAAATGAAAGGCTTGTGTTATTTCAACAAGAATGAATTGAATAATTTAATATACATTTATTTGAATAGTTTTATCATATATACTTTTCTTAGCCTACTAAATAGCATGAAATAAAAAATACAAAAATGAAATATATAAAACAAAAACATGTTTTCATTTACGTTTCAGTTTGCACGCCATTAAGCTTAAACCAGTCTTTAAATTTATATCCAACCAAATTTTACTTACTCTTATAATTCAGATATAACAAAAAAGAAGAGGACTAACAATTTATCAAATAGTGTTAGATTATATAAAGAGGTTCAAAGAACATAGTTACTAAAAAGAAGAGGACTAACAATTTATCAAATAGTGTTAGATTATATAAAGAGGTTCAAAGAACATAGTTAGTAATAAGAAGAGGACTAACAATTTATCAAATAGTGTTAGCTTATATAAAGAGGTTCAAAGAACATAGTTAGTAATTCAGTGGCTAGCATGAAATATTTCTGTCCTGTGCCTTAAGAATGATATATTCAAATAAAGTACACTTAACCTCTGAATTATTAAATCTCTTTCATGTTTGTTTTCATGCTGTCCACTGCTGTGTAACTTTAGATCCTGAGTGGCATTGACATAATGTAGAACATGCATAATTCTGTACTGTTCCACTTTCAAGTTACGTATTGCACATACATCAGAAGAACGTATATATATGATCCGTGCTTTTCTGCTGTCACCCAGGTTTTCTTGTTGAAAATCATGTTTTTAACTTCATTATTAATTCTGAAGTCAATGTTAATTTTAATGATAATGCTTCTACTTCTTTAGAGGCCTTATTCATGCAGTCTACCTCTAGGATGCCTTAAGAATAGTATATTCAAATCAGGTAGACTTATCATTGAAATACTAAAAGTCAAATTGTTTGTTGATGTCTCTAGCAGGTTTCTCAAACACATCCCCCTCCTTTTTTTTTGTGATCTGGAACAAGACAGTTTGTTTGTTCAGACCTGTTCACTTTAATTGTCTGAAAAGCAGAATTTGGCAGCTAGTCTCAATCCTGATGAAGCTTTAAATCTTAAACCTATTTCTATTACTCCTAAGGGCAGTGTTATGTTAAAAGGATTCAGTTCTGAATCGTTATTTCTACCACCTTTTGATAGTCAGGTTATTGGTGATGCTCTTAGAAATCAGCTGAATTTACGCAACTCTCATGTTTCTCGAGTCTGTCAAGTCTGGGTCATCCTATATTGTTCGTCATTCTTCTTAGTGAAACCATGATGATTATCCAATAAAATTCTAAACTTTGTTAAGTGACTTTGCAAAGCATCTTTTAACAGACTTTCCAAAACTTTTCC